AAAACTAAGGACTCGAGAACCGAGAAATATTGGTATAATAAGAGCCATTTTAGCTCGTTTTTTTAAAGGGGAATTTTACTCAAAACATTTTAAACAATTTTGGTCCCTTTAAAGCGTATTAAACAATTTTTTCTGTATTTAACTCATTTAATTCACTCAAATTGATTTTCCATAGTGTTGAAGGGATAAGAGATTTCGCAAGGGGGATATTTACAACACGTTCTATACGAAGACAAGAAAATCGGAAACATAATGGAAAACCGACGCGAAACGGAGCAAAATCTAATCTAACTTATTTAGGTATAAAATCTTCAACGTTTCATGTTTACCTGTGGGTCGTTTATCTTTTAATGGGATCCGCTACTGTTTTGGAATTAATAACGCCGGTTTTGGGGTGAACCGAGACGTCACCTCGGCGTACCGCGAATATATGAATAAAGCGACGTACTCCGGTTATAAATTGACGTGTTCGAGTCAAACAAATAACGCCAAACTGTAAATTAATAGGCGTACGTCAATACACACACGTGGAAGTAACCGAACATATCCATTAACATGTTTCAACGATTTATGGATTGTCGATTGTCAAGTTAACCTATCTTGTATTACATTCATAATAAATTTTTTTAAGTTATTTTTAGTTATAACCCAGCGTTTTCTTCTCAATTTATTGATGAGAAATATATTGACTATTACTTGATTAATGAAAACTGGAAGAATCGACGAGGGTTTAATTAATAAATTATCGAGAACGCAAGGATGTAATCTATCAAAATAAACGACACGTTACGGGGTGGCGTGTTTTGAATTACAAATAATTCAGTAGATGTTTTCTCAAGTCACGATCTTCCCGAAGGCGGTGGAGTTAGGTAGGGTATCGATACCGAAAACGGGAGTCCCGCATGGAAACATTTTCGAGTTCGCTACCGTCCATCCCGTTTCCGCACACGTGTATACGTGATGTTCGTCGGAAACAAACAGCGGAGGTAATAGATTCGCTATTAGTTCACTAATAGTGTTTCCTGGTAGGAACCGCGAGCTTGATGAATGATCTCTCTCTCGACAAACCGACGGATTTTGAATTGTTAGATGCGGGACATTCAATTCATCATCACGTGCAACGATGACACATCAGTATGTTGAAGGTACTACATCTTAATTGCAGTTTTATAGAAAACGAATGAATAAAAGAAGAGATATATGATGGATTCGTTTTCTTTTTTTTACAACAAAAAATATTAACTAAATTGTATATTAAATTTGCAGCTTAACAAACTAAATAACCATAAAAATTGCTAAAAATATCTTGCTTATAGTTTTATAAACCTAAACGCTAACTATTAGATCTCAATACATGCCATGTAATGGTACTATTGCCTTACTATTTATAAATACATAGTAACGTAAAACCCCTTTGCATAGAATAAGTACATAACCTATCTACAACAGCTTGGATTTATATTTCCTTGGAATTCCCATTTAAAAAATATGGTTAAGATCCAATTATTTTTTATGTGACAAATGTATCCTCTATGTCATTTCTATGTGTATGTCACAGTGAAGCCCTCTGTCGCCTGAGTAAGTTATGCAAAGAACCCCCATGCAACGCTAAAGTTTGGGCTTAATACAGAAAGATGATGCGAGAATAATTAACGACATTACATTGTAAGCTCATTTTAGCGAGTGTTGGAAAAAATTGCATAAGTTTCAAACATTTGAAAATAATAATAGGTGAAGTAGCTGAGCCTACATTTATTGCTTCCATAACAACTTTATACTTTGTTAATCCCGTATGCTTTATAATAACGTTTCGAAAAGACTTATTGTTAAAACAGTTTCTGAACCCATGAAAGTTGGAATGAGGAAAATTTGGGAAATCATAAAGGTGCTGGTCAAGATTGTAAAGGAAATCATGGTAATTAACCCTATAGGAAGCAGAATCGAAATTTTTTTATATGAGCAGTTTAGTTAGTAAGACTAAGAGTGATAGTTATAATTACCTATGTTATCATAAAGCTGTAACTGCCATGGACATCAGAATAAGTAGTTCATGCACACTTTCCACATGAAACCATTAAACTTTCTCTGTCTCTTGTATATTATATACATGCTTATGACTATACATGTTAATTTTACAGGATATATAGACGATTTTTGCGAAAGTATTCGTAATTAACTACATCTTTTATAAGCCTATACGATTAAACTTTCCTTTAATTACTAGTTTATGTAACTTATGATACCAAGGAAGTATTTCCGATATAGATGGGGACTCAAATAAATATCTGTATCAACGAAGATATGAAAAATTTCAACAAACAGAATACAGAATCACGACGACACTGAAACGAAGCGAAGGAAGCAGTAGGAAAGAGTTACACTAGGAAATGCAAGACCGAAGAGAAAAGCCTTGGTTCACTCAAGAAATAAAGGATCTAGTTGTGGAAAATCGAAGATCCTATTTGCAGAATAGATCAGTTTCAATAAAATATGACGAATAAAAAACAGTCAAAATAAAAGCAAATATCCAATCAATAAAAGAAGCCTATTAGTAATTTCTCTTAATGTACTAAGTGTACGCGAGAACAATAATACGATTTACAAAAAAATTCGCCAACCTTAATTTATGCTAAACCCACGTGGGTTTAAGGTCCAATTACTTTATTGACACTAATACTTATATGTACACATTAACGATACTTTGGTCTGCCTTTTCACTGAGCCAGTTCAAAAGGTTAGAGGTTGAGTCGCCTTATTCAACTGGAATTGCCAAGGACTGGATAACCTCGAGGTTTTCGAGCATCGATAACTTGCATATTGCTTTCGATTGCATATTTACAAAGAATTGCGCGATATGCCACGAAAAATATTTGACTGCAGTGGATCAGTTCTCCATGCATTCAAAGAGTATACCAAGTAAAGCAAGAAGATATTAGTTTAAAACCGCATCTTAAACCAGAGATAGGTTTCTCTAATAATATTCAATGCTGACTAACAATAAGACTTTGATAACTGTAGAGCATGTTGTGAGATAGTTTAGTTCTTTGGGTAAGATCGATGTACAATAGATTTTATTGGTACAAAGGTTGATCGGATCACTAACCTGAAATATAAACCTCTAATTGCAACACCAGCATTTCTAAAGCAGAAGAATCTCCTTTTGATGACTAATACAGAGATGAGATACAAGATGACTAATAATCTTGTTAACGAAGTATCGTTTGAGTTATAACATTCCATTAAACTTAAAACGATGGACATTGATATTGTAGGGCCACTTCAGCGAAGAGAAAGTGAAAAGACTATTATTAACGTGAATATTATAAAATCCTGCTAGAAACACGATGTCGGGAGGGAAATTCGTGTTTATGGCTCGCCTGTCCCTGCCACAAATTGAATCTCGGCCGACTTTTCCGGCTTTCGCGCCTTCGTAATATCAAATTTTGTATGCAGTTTTATCACCGTAGAGTTAATTAAATTAAACTCTAAGCACTTAACGATGATATTTTTATTACATTATAACAGTTTCAAAAAATCAGTATCTCATTTCACTTAAAGATATTTGATTTATTGCTTAACTGCCATATTTTATAATTATTAAGAGAATAAAGAACATCAAAAGATTGACAATTTGGTTCTAAAGGTGGTGAACATGTCTACATCAAAGTTATTTGAAGTACCCACCATAAAGATAGGTACTACTAGAAAAAAAATATTTCTGTTTGCAAAATTTTTGCATCAAATAAAAGGATTGAACCAACATGTACAGAAAAGCATTAGTTCTTAAGTGGTTAGATGTATTAATGTTTGATGACTGTAATGATTACACTCAAACCAGGCGCATGATTAATAAATGAGATGTATAATTAGTAACAGTGGGGTAAAATCGATTAAGAAATATAAGAGATTATTCCATTATATGATTGATAACGTCCCTGAAAAATACATTTGAAATGTTTCTTATAAAGAGATGGAGATTATTTTGTGTTCCGACGATCAATGTGTCAATAACAATTTCCTTATACGACTTAAACTACAGGTAGTTTGACAATACAAATCATAACACATCCCATATATTCGCTTTAATTCATATCAGAAGCGTTTGTAATGGATCTTTTTACCCGGGTTAAAGGGTTATTTATAGCCCTTGTGGTATTGTTTCCAGCTGATGTCCCATTACTGTTGTACTGGGCCTCGGGTGTTTTTACTATTTTGCCATTACCGGCCACCATTGTTGCGATAACTCCGTCGTTTCACGTCTTCCAACGAAAGACTGATAGGATTTTAATTATCGCCAATAACGCGGTCCGTTGTCCTCTTAATGGAAATCCATTTGCCGGTTTCCGTTCGTCAATATACGGGTTGAATTCGAAAAACAAAGAGCGATTCGAAAGTTTTGTCGTGATGTCCCCGAGTTGACTTTGTCGCGGGTTTGTACGGCATAAACGTTATCCTTTAGACCGTTTCAATTATCCGAATGCATTCTTCAAAGTTTTCTGGGACCGGTGGCTTTAAGGTTAAAAGGGCGCTTTGGTTGCATGTTTGAAAGTATTTGGACGTCCACGACGAGCACGTCTCCGGATAAAAGCAACTTCCCCAACGGTCCGATAAAAATAATAGAACTGGGACACTATTTCCCGCTTAAATAAACTTAAAGCAAATAAATTTAAACCATTAAAATAAATAGGAAAGATTTTTTTAAGAAAATTTTAAATTGTCTTTAAATAAAGTTTAACAAAACGAGTTGACAATTCGAGAATTCAACTCGGTGCTGATTTGTACTACGCGAAGGAAAAGTTCTATGTAAATAACTTTGTTGGGATGTTTTCGACTCTCGCAAACGCTCCACTCGGGTCAATTTAGAAGCATCCATCACGCTTGTTTTTGCAAGGGGTGGTCCGTGAGGGAATTTAAGGGGCCGAGCAGCAACAGAACGTGTCTGCAATGGCTCCAAGAATAAGCGCGCATACGTGTGATATAAGTCGGAAAAGTTTTCTTACCTCTATGTCGGTTCGTTTGTTTGTCGAACATGAGCATGGCGTCCTCTATCTGAAAAGAAACAAATCAACATGAGATTATTTAAATTGCAGGAAAAAAAATTTTAAACGTTTGTATACATAGGAAAAAGCTATAATTCAAACGCTTTTGAATCGTCGAAAATTACAGACAAAACGACAAAAGCGACCCCGTTGTGATGTGTATGTGTATTGATTTCGCGTTTGCCCAGTAACCCGACGTTTCAACAAACACACCTCGTCAATTTAACTCCCATTCCGTTCCTTGTTCGTCGTCCGAACGGTAAATCGACTTGTGCGATTTCAACCCATGATTCTAGTTAAATATTTATACCTTTCGATTACGATATATCACAATTTAAAGGATTAAATCGAAAACAAATTCTTGTAAATATTGACAAATAAAAGTACTATACATTTTTCCTATATAGAAATATTTGAATTAATACGCTTTAAAAAACATGTTTAATGAAATTCTTTTTTATAAACGTAAACAAAATATAGTAAAATCTCGATATAACTGATTTCGTTAGAACGGATTTCGGAGATAACGAACAAACTACTTTTAATATGACTTAAAAGTATCTATTTAATGTATTAGTATATTTAAATATAAATGTTAGCGCTCGTAGATCGAATCCAACTCGGGTTATTCCCCAGGTTGTCTATGCGATGTATAAATCAAGGACGGTAGTTCTAGTTTTAATTGTTATTGAGCGTTAGATTGTTCTATTTTTATTGAACTAAAAGTAGAACTAACACTAGACCTAGAAACATTAGGGTTTAGCCATCTTAAGAGACGTGGGACTAAATCCGAATGTTTCTAGTTCTAGGTCTAGTGTTAGTTCTAGTTTTAATTGTAATTTCGCGCTAAATTGTTGTATATTTTTATTAAACTAAAAGTAGAACTGACATTAGACCTAGAACTAGAAACGTTTGGGTTTAGCCGTCTAAAGAGACGTGCGGCTAAACCCAAAAGTTTCTAGTTCTAAGGCTCGTGTTAGTTGTAGTGACAGTACTAAAACTAGAACTAACACTAGACCTAGAACTAGAAAATTTCGAGTGTAACCGTGCGTCTGAACACGCTAGAATATTTCTAGTTCTAAGCCTAGTGTTAGTTCTAGTTTTAATTGTTATTTAGCGCTAAATTGTTGTATATTTTTGTTAAACTAAAAGTAGAACTGACACTAGACTTAGAAACATTTGGTTTAACATTCTAAACAGACGCACGGCTAAACCCGAATGTTTCTAGTTCTAGGTCTAGTGTAAGTTTTAATTGTTATTTAACGCTATATTGTTGTACATTTTTATTGAACTAAAAGTGGAACTAACACTAAACCTAGAATTAGAAACGCTTTAACCAAAATGTTTGAACCGCACGTCTCTTAAGGGCTAAACCCAAATGTTTCTAGTTCTAAAGTTATTTCTAATACTAGTGTTAGTTCTAGTTTTAGTTGTTATTCAGTACTAGCTTGTTGTAAGTTTTTATTGAACTAAAAGTAGAACTGATACAGAACGCAACGATGTGGATAACTGTTCGCATTTGTGTGCATTAAAATTATTGATAACACAGTTTAGAGAGTACAGTTAAAACAGTTTGGAGAGCAAATTAAAATTTTTTCATATAACAGACTTTTGCGTATAACGAACACTCCCTTCCCTATAGGTATTAGGCCGTTATATCGAAGTTTTACAGTATCAGATTTATTTAAAGGATACTATTGGATTAAAGTAAAATCAAATTACCTTTATAGAAAGTTTGTTATTGATTCGGAAATAGAAAATAGATATGTAAAGGTAGGTAGAAGCAATAAACAGGTAAATTTATGTGATGTGGGTTTAGATATCGACGTAAAAGGTAGAATTTTATTTCGGCCATCAGTGATTTTCCGAAAAATAAATAATGCACCTGGTCCGCTTACGAAGTTTTCCTTGGAAAGGGTGATGGGGGCACGTAGGGTCCATGCGAGCCGAGCGCCACGGCCGCTTGATAGTGGCCGCCTATTGAATTACAGGCTGGCCACGGCGGAATGTAAATGCGGAACCGTCTGCTTTCGATTGCGAGGAAATTCTCCCCGAACCGGAATTACGTGGGCGGGTTGTTCAGGCCCCAAGTATTATATCTCCTGTGTCACCTACATTATTGGCATAAAGAGGGGTGCGAGAGAGAAAACTAACGAGAGATGGGGCTAGAATGGAATTGGACGAGAATGGAATCCTGAAATCCGGAGGGCACAGTGTCCACTCCACGCGTTTTGTCTGCCGAAACAATATAATTGCCGCAGTCCGGACGGTGACAGTGCCTCCTTCCAAAGCAAAATTTCCACGATTTAATTAATATTGTTGGCCACCAGTAACGTGTATCCCAAATATTATCGGTTGTGGGAATGTAAATGGCGTTAATTGTCCCCTGAAAATTTATAGTTAAAAATTCCTTTTTTGTCAAACAAAAAGAGATAGGCGTTGCGACCTCGTAAAGTGGATAGCGTCCTGTATAACAATGTAAACAAAGAAGTGGACACGTACGGCGCTATTTAAAGCCCCCCGGTAGCGCTCGTTCATTTCGTATTCACGTTCCGGCAGCCGGGAAGTCAGAGGACCACCCCTTCGAGGGCTGCCCATGGTAAAAGTATTCATATGCGAGGTGGTAATTTATGTACGTAGAAGCGAAGCCCCTCTGAACTATTCAAACGGGCCCGTCGCCAGAGGGCTAACGCTCACCGTTACGCGGAAAGCATCGCGAGCAAAAAGTGGTGCTCCCGTAATAATTTATTTGTTGTAAACGACCTTTAAGGCACCGGGGCAATGAATTAAAACGTAATGACAATCCGGGTTGCTTTATTCGATGTTACAATAGCCAAGTATGCAATGACGACAACGGAAACGTCGTTGACGACGACGACGGTTTACGAACGAAATATTTATGACGGAGGGGCAGAATAAAAAATGAGACTCAAGGAATTTATATTTCTCGATATTAACGTTTCCTCGAATATTATCCTCAAATCAAATTTAGCTAACTCGATGAAACAAATGAGAGGCCCCCTTCTCTTTTTGTAGTGCCTCCGCCGCCTTTATGCAAATCCAACAGACGCGATTTGTTTTGTAAATTCCCGCACTCCGCTCGTCAACAAAGGCCTAATATATTCTTAGAACTTTATGGAGGCTGTTTACATTTTTGCGGGCAAAGTCCGAAAACCGATTTACGAATTTACAATTCTAAAACTTAGACAACGAGTCCGGAGACGTAGATGAAGCAGGTGAGAAAGAGGATCTAATTGGAACTACTGACAACGGACATTCAAATTGAAAGTTTTTATTTCAAACTAAAACGGAGTACTACTAAAGTATTTAAAGAGATTTAACGGGGGAAATCGCGAAGGAGGCCAACACGAAAGCCGATCAACTAGCTCCGTTCCTTTCGCAAGGCTGGCATGACTGACTGACCTATTTCACTTCGAGTAGAAACTGTAGCGGCTACGTTCTCCAGCAGAGGTCCCCCTGGGCAACGTCACTCAACGTGCCATCCTGAAAACTGGCCTGCAACCCGAACAGAGCGCGTGAATTATTGATGCGGGCGTATTTGAATCCAATTCTCGAGCCCGACACCGAAACAATGCAAATTTGCCGGTTTAACAATGTAAATATCGGGGGAAACCCGAGATACGGTGGATAACACCCTTTTCGACGTTTGCATTTTATCGTGTTCTGACTGAACACCGAGTGGATTGAAAGCAAATATGAAAAGAAAGTATAACGAAGAGAAATTTTTATAATCCGATCTCTTGTCAGTTAGACATCATTTTTATGAAGGTTTAACAAATAACATCACTTTAAACATTTTTATAAAAAAAATAACGAAGTGTGCTTTTCTATATTTTCCAAAATAAATTATTCTTTTAGGTAACTACTAACCTGCTGGGATAAAAAAGAAATTTTGCAACATTATGTAATTATTACTTTTTGAAGTTTTTTTTAACAATTCATCTATTTCTGCATGTCCGAGAACAGAAGTATAATATTAATATAATATTGTAGTAGATAAATTTTGTTAAAACTTTTCTGATTAAATTTTTTCAGTACCAGTTATACTTTTTGATATCTGAGGGACGATAATACATCGTCCGGTTTAAACCATTTCACTACTTTTTCCACAATTTCTCTACTATTCCTATGCATCCGAGAACAAACGTAGAACTAGGTAATAATATAGAAAATTAAATCCCCTACAACTTTTCTCATTAAATTTTTTTCTGTATGAATTATATTTTTTGATTTTGGCGCAACGATATCTATTAACAATTAGATTAAAACGTGTTGCTTTTTTGCAAAATATCTGAATTCCTAAGCTTTAAAGCGCTTAAAAATAAAAGAGAGCAATATTGTAAAGTGCTAATTTTTGTGTGAGACAATATTAAAAACCCGTACAGATTAAACAAATTTGCTAGTTTTTTTCACAAAATCTAGGTTCCTACGCTTTGCAGTGCAAAAATAAAAGAGAACAATATTGTAGAGGGCTCAATTTTCTATAACTTTTCTTATTAGATTATTTCTGTACGAGTTATATTTTTCCATATTTGTAAGATAATATCGCTAACCCATACGATTTTACTGGTTTTTTTAACAATACCTAGATTCCTAAGCTTCGGACAGCAAAAATAAACGAGAGCAATATTGTAAAGTATTAAATTTCCATCACTTATATTATTAGATTATTTCTGAACGAGTTACATTTTTCGATGTTTGTGAGAGAATATCGATAACCTGTACAAATTAAGCGATTTTGCTAGATTTTGCACAATATCCAGATTCCCAAGTGGGCCTAACTGATTTTGCTAGTTTTTTTGCCATATCTATAATCTTAAGCATATCATACGTAAATTAAAAATGTTCAATATTGTAAAGAACTGAATTTCTTTTCTAATTCAAAATTTTCTACCAGTTATGTGTTTGGATGTTCGTGGGGTTATGTCAACAGATTGTCCAGTTTAAACCGTTTTGTTAGTTTTCCCAAAATATCACTTTTATTTATAT